TGCCAAAAAAAAAAAAAAGAAGGAAAGAAGAAATAAGTTACAACCACCACATTTCATCCCAAGCAGTAGCTTTTGTTAACAGAACTCTTACCAGGTAGAATTATGTTACAATCTTTCCCATTATAGCTAACGGCAACCTGGACAGAAAGGTCCAGATGCTTTCAATATTTACTTAAATTCCACTGATTTCATAGTGGAGACTATATCACCTAGGGGATCTGGACCAAAGACTTTGCATCTTATTAATTCTCCAGCAGCAATGGAAGGCTGAATGTTGTGGAGCTGACTGCCGAAACCAAAAACGATTAACAGGTCCCTCTCAGCCCAGTGTTGTTAGCTTCTTGTTTGCAAGATGTCAGGCAGCTTTCACAGCATAATCTGGCTGTGAAACTCGTATCTGAAAACCCAGCTACAGAGAAAGGGAGAGAAAAACCTTCAGGAGCTCTAATGCAGTGTGCTGCTCCTCTCCTCTGCTCATAAAGGAGTTTCACCACCTTTTGCATTGCAAGCGTTATCAACCTACAGAACCGAGAGATTATCGCACCAGCCTTTGCTCATGCTGCTCAGGAGAAGAGCCACCCCTGCTGTGTGGTTGGGAAGTAGACAGAGAAATACCCAGCTCCTCATTTCCCCCTTACCCTGATCGATCCTGTTCAAACTTCAGCTGGGGAAACTGTGGCTCCCTACAAGCAGGTATGGGCAGGCACACACCCAGACACATGAGCTGCCAGAGCTCCCGGAGACAGCTTCCAACCAAGGGCTTTTTTACCTGCACGACTGCAACCGTGCATATAGCTCTTTCCCCCTGCAAAGCAGGCATCTGCTGTGGGAAAGATCCTTCACCATTACTACAGTCATATGCACGGGTCCCTATCACGGCTCAGGGCTCCGCTGTCCTCAGTATTTTATTCTTGAAATAAATAGCGAGCCTGCCCTCCAAAGTTCAACCTCAGCAAAAGCGTCTCTGAAGACAATAGGAAATCTGTTGCCTTTGGGAGCAGAACTAGGTTCAAATATTATTATGGCCTGGAGAACAGGTCAGACACAAAGATTAATTCAGCATACAATGCAGGTTTCTAATACAAATAAATCAATGACTCTAGAAGCATGATGAGGAACTACAAGAAAAGAAAATAAAAAAAGAAAGCCCTACCCCTGAAAAATAACTCTGAAATCAAGCACAACGTACAGTGAAAGAACATCTATTTTGATACATTGAAAATGAGCAGACGCTCATTTTAAAATAGACTCATCTTACAATTAGTTTTCAAAATGACTGCCATCTCTGTTGGCGAGAGCACCGAGCTTTGCTATGGCTCAGCAGGAGAAAAGTGTATTCCAAATGAGTAGTCCAAACTATCTGGAGCAGAAATAAATTGTTACAGACTGGCACTAGCCTGCAAGGGCAAAGGGAATCCTGAAAAGACATCAGAATTGCAGAGACCTCAGTGCTCCCATTTAAAAGAAAATGCCTCTAGTTTTCAACTCTGTTTCACTTCTCTTTGGTATCTGTGCACATCCCCCTAGGTACACACAGCGACCATTACAGAATTGACCTGCTACAAAATCAGCAAAAAAGAAAGGACCTACAGAAAAGAGTATCTTTTCCCCTCCATTCTTTTATAGACCAACTTTATTTGATGAATAGCAGAAAGAGATCCATATTTTTTTTTTTAAACAACAACTTATTCATATGGTCTTGGCAGATTCTTTTCCTGTGAATTTTTCATGGCCACATTTGCAAGATAGTCCTCTAAAGCCCGGTAATTGCTCAGTGAAGATGATGATTGCACAATCAAAGTACTGATCTGGGATTTGAAAAGAATTTTATCCCTGGCTCTGTGCAAGACTCTTGTGTGGCCTAGATAAGTCACTTAACAACTGCTTTGCGACCTTGGGGTCTACCTGCCCTACCTCATTAACTGTAGTGGCTCTTCTTTGAGAAGTCATGGGAAATATCTGCTACGGATATGCAATAGTAAGTACAGAACATGAAGTTAATTTCAAAAGATGAGAGGATGACACTTTGCCATACAAAATGTTACTGTCGACATGCCAAGCAGTCAGCATGGCTTATGCTCAGTTCCTGAATTAACCTCTCAAGCTTCTTCTGTTAAAATCCCACTTAAAACCTGTGTGTTCTATGGGATGCTGTGAAGCTACCTTCCACTTCAGCTTTTACATGATCTTTTTTAATTTATTTTTACTGTACCAACTACCCCTTCAGCCTTAACCTAGCAAACTTCTTGAACAGAGTGCCAGCTAGTGATCTGTACTGTAAGGCACCTCCTACAACATGACCTCGTTCAGTATGGCATTACAGATGTGGCTCCACAGAGCAGTCATGCATGGCCAGCACAACGCAGTGATGGAAGAACCCACATTTGGCTTCAAAGAACTGGAGCTCAGGAGGGCACAACTCTCCTCGTTTGTTTTGCAATGGTCTCCTATGAGTGACTACATATTTTTTTTGCAGAAGAATAGGTCTGATGAGGATCCAGCAGTGAATGTCAGAGCACACCGACCAGCAGCGTGATCTCTGCTGCCCACCTACCCACATAGAGGACGCCCTCTTTCGTCTTTCCTGCCGCTTCTGCCACACCCTGCTTGGTTTTTTCTGCTGCTGCTACGACTCCCTCCTTTGCCTTGGAAAGTCCTTTCATGAACACATCCATGGCTGAAGAATTTATTCACACAGCTCTAGAGAAAAAAAAGACAGTACACTTTCAGTAAGATTTTTTTCAGCTTTTTATCCCAGAAAGGGAAAAAAACTTCATTCAAACTGAATGGGATCACAATTACTTAAAAATTATATTATTTATACCCCCATATTATGTAGCTTTCATCCACATCTCTATTAGCAATACACAAACAACTCTCTTGTATGTGAGGTTGCACTCAGTATTTCAGGGATACGGTTACATGAATCACCTTTACATTTTCTCACGTGCTGCCATACACAGCAAGTTAAACAGTGCTGCAAGACCAGTTCCCTCAATCCAAGAAAAGCTTGGGGATCCTGTTTCCACCGAATCCTACAGAGAGGTTGCTGATAACACAGCTCTGGTTGGAAGATGGACTCATTGATACAAGTCCCTTCCTTGCCTACCAAGGCATCATTTCCTCCAAAGGACAGTTCTGTTCATGTGCTGATTGCAAGATTTAGCCCCATGATTTGATGATACTCCACCTCTCCTCCAGAGGAAAAAGCCATCTTAAAGAAACACTAGCAACTTCAAAAGAAAAAAAAACAAAACAAAACAAAAACCCAACCACCTTCTAAATGACAAATGTCCACTTGTTATAAGAAACTGCCATTACAACCCAGAAGGACTGGAGCAAATAGAAAATGCTGCTTTTCCAGTAGTCCAGCATTTTGTGCACAGTCCACGTCACTCTTCTGGAAATTGAGTTCTACCGAATGGGTTCTTTGCATTTATCAGGACTGAGAAAACATTTTACTAAAAAGCAAAAGCAAGAATGCAGGATTTTAAAAGCACTGCACTAAAGCTACCAAGCGAGTTCTGTGGCAGCGATACAACCCAGCGCTACACTGAAACTACTAAAATAGTAATTAAAACCAAGAAGTCAGGGTCCCTTCAACGAATCCGTTATTGATAGTCCTTTCTCTTCCTCCACCCACACAGAAAGAAGCGCTGCCTGTTATTTTCTTTTCTCTGCCGGAGGCTGAGTAGGAGGAGTGGATGTCTAGGAAGGCATCTGGGCTGCTGCAGCTTTCTACTAACTCGTGATGAGCGTGTGAAGAAAGGCAGTATTTGTGCTCCAGCCAAACTGCCTACAGTACCTGTCACCTTGGGGCTGGGG